TGGGAGGTCCCGGAGTCCTCCTTTGTCCTAGAGGGAGACTGTGGTTTACCCTCCGCCTCCTGGGGATGAAGGGCCTGGCAGTAGGAGTCAGTCTCCTGCTCACAGTCCCTGATGGCACGCAGTCTCTGGACTGCAGCCTGGAGCTCCTCCAGCTGGTGCGCCAGAGAACCCAGAAGGGAGCAGACCCCACAAGGAGAGGTTGCCATGCTTCCGGGCCCTAGAGCCTGAAAAAGCGACAGGCAGCCCCCACAACCGAGAGCCAGGGGCTCTGTCTGCGTGGAGCCTGGAACCATGGGCTCTGTCTGGGCGGCCGTCTCTGAGGTGCTGCGGGGGACGGGCCGTAGAGCCTGAGGGGACCCTCAGGGTGTGGCGCATGCCCATCAGCATCATGCCGCTGGTAGGCTGGCTACAGCTGGGACTGTCTACCCTGGGGGGCTCACAGGCAGGGCCTCAGCCCTCCATCGCACCCTCCTGTGCTAACTTATGCGCCGGCAGACAAGTGCGCCTGTTTGCGCAGCCTGTTCGCGCGGCTCCAGTCATGTGGCTCCCTGTGGGGCTGGGCCAAGTAGGGGCCTGGGCGGAGTGAGAGTTGGCCCGGCTCCACTCAGCCGCCTCCTCCCACTCGCTCAGGGGTTAACCCCCTCCCAGCATGGGCCCTGCTTACCTCCGGCTGTGCTGCGGGTCGGCACGGGGCTCCGCGGCTGCTGGGGAGTTGGCAGGGGGCTTCGGGGTAGCAGGGGCACAGCAAGCTTTCACCCACGCATCTCTCGCCACTCCGGAGCCTAACTGGAGCTTTTTTGCTGTTGGCGGGCCCTTTTTATTAGACCAACTTAAATAGCTGGAGAACAATTTTTAAGCAAGCTTTTGGGTTCAAAAACCCTTCGTCAGGCTGGGGAAGTTTCATCAACTGCTGAAACTTCCTTAGCCTGACAAAGGGTTTTTGAACCCGAAAGCTTGCTTAAAAATTGTTCTCCAGCTATTTAAGTTGGTCTCTAATAAGTTATCAGATTCACCCAAAGAACCTTGCCTGCCTATGTCCTTAGACCAACATGGCTACAACCTATACCCCTGTACCAAATATAGAGAGCTATGAAAACACTGCTTTTAGAAAAAAAATTCAGCCTCAGTTTGGGGGATTATCTTGCTCTGGTGCAGGCATTACCGTGGAAACTGACAAAAAATGCATCCAACCATTGATAGAAATATCGTAAGTTCAGTTTTTATTTTCACTGCATTATTTCAACTCGTTTCATCAGTTCTTTTCCATGGTGCTTCAAAGTACCCAGCACCTCTCAGAGATTTCAAATTGTTTCTTAATGTTTTAGGAGGTGTGTGTAGGAGTTAACTTTCAACTTTTTAAATTAAAGTTCGTACTATCGTTGTTCCCCCTTTCTTGGTTTAGGTACTTGCAAGCTGATACTACTTCAGGCTAGGTTCATATACTCAACTTTTATCTAGATTTTGGGAAAACTTAGTTAAAATAAACTGAAGGATGTTCAAAGTGGTGTTTCCAGAAATTTTGGAGGATGAACAGCGTTCCAAGGATCACTTGAAAATATTTATATTTGAAATTATTTGTAGGGTGACTAGGCGTTACTCCAGTTGCACTCTGTTTACGGCTACACATGTATGGGTCAGTCTGTCAGGAGGAAGGAAAAAGGAATAACAGCTTGCAGTGGCTGAGTCATCCCCCAGGGTTTTCCTGGGAAGCAAAGTGGTGGGTAGTGGGGATGGATCCTCCTCCCAGTTCCCCCAACTTGCTGGGGCACCTTGCTGGGCTCTAGCCCAGATCTCCCAGACAGCAGCAAGCTGTGGGGGGTGGGAAATTCCACCCCCACTCCCCACCCCCCATGCAGGGAGCCAGGACACCCTGTCCAGTTGGAGCAGAGCCAGGGGTTCTTGGAGGGGTTCCCTCCCTGTTCTTCTCCCTCTCCTGTGTTTGCTGCTGCTCGGCAGATGGGGCTGGGCAAGGTATCCTGAGTTCCTTGTGCTTGTGTGGGAAAGCTGACGGGATGGGGTAGGACAGGGATTTTCCCTATGATTGTTGCTGTTTTGGGAAACCCAGGCTCTGCTATAGCTGGGCAGGGTGTCTCTGGCTTCCTGTAATTGTGCAGGGGTGGATAGCCCACACCCACCCTGCTTGCTGCTGCTTGGGATGCTCCAGCCTGGCTGGGTGGGGAGAAGCATTGCTTTTTACACTAGAAGTTTTAAATCAAGTTGAATATTGAAAATGTAGATGCCTCATAAACATTTCTGCCTGATTATAGAGTATCTATTTATTTACAGTTACAGTTATTACCCTGGTTAACTCAATTGGCAGATGTTAACTCTTTAGTTACAACATGGCCAAAGCTTCTAGAGAGCTCTGTACAAAGATGTCTTCATTACGTTTCCAAGACAGACTTCATTTGAAGAAGGCTTCTCAAAAAACATGAATTCTTGAAGTCACTTGAAAATGGTAAAAGAGATATAACCATGATTGGGACTATCAGCTCTCTAAAAAAAAAATTTCATAAGAGTATGAATTTTTGTTTTCAAAATAGGTGGAAATCTTAAGCCTTCTAGCATTCAGGCTGGTGACAGACTTGATAACCAGTGGTTGCACTACGATGGTCAAAATATACCAAAGACTAAGCAAGCTTGGGAATCGTGCTGCTTTGTGGAGAAAACACACTGGGGGTATTATACCTGGCCTCAGTGAGTATTAAATGACATGCTCCAGGGGCAAAATACTACAAGAAAAGCAATGTTTTTGACTAATGTGGTTGGCATTAAAATGGACACTTAAATTATTGTTTTAATGTTATTACTTGTTATTGAACATGAACAATTTTTAAAATACGTTTGCCTTTTTATTTGTGCTGCTGGTACTTTATGCACTTGTTGTTTGGGCCATGAAAATAAATTGTTTTTCTATTGAGTGCAAATTATTACAGATGCTTTCATTTTGATTATTTTTGTGTGTTGTAAACCTTGCATGGGATTATTTTATTTTGTTATTTAACTGTTTTCATTGGAATTATATGCACAGTTCATACATTTTGCAAAAATCTTACAATAGCAGTGCTGGATTGAGTTTGTTCCAATAATGCCTTTTTAAGACTAGATATCATAAGTATTTATGATATAAATTTTAAATATAATGTAGATAAATAGAACATAATGTATGCATTTTTTTGCCTTTTATCTTGAAAATTGTTAATGCATGTTTTCTCTAATTCCTAGAAACATGTTAGTTTATGCTCCTGCTGATCAGCAGCCAAAGCTTGGACGAGGGAGAGAGGAGTTGTTAGAGGTAAGCCACCATGTTGTGAATATTGATTGTTCTGGTTCAAAACTAGCACAGATTCTTATCTGACTTCTAAGGTCTTGGGTACATGCATTTCAAGTGCTGTGAATCCTGTACCACTTCACATTTGGCACCACATGGCAGATGTAGTACAGTATGTATATTTGAAACACTTATGATATTTTAAGTTGTGTTACTGAAGGTATTTTTTGACTGGAGGGGTATACTTAAATTGGGAATATAGCAATTGATTTCCAGTTTTGGGGAAGCATGGGCACTTGATAAAGCAGCTGTGTAAAAAATGGCACAGTTATTCTTGTACAATTGAGAGCCAGAGCTTAGTATTCAAAATATCAAAAGCACTGTGGCCTTGCTTTAGCAAAGTACTAAAGATTTTGGCTGACTTGACGTGTTAGCAATCTCATGTGGACTGCTCACATAATTAAGCAAATGCCTAACAAAGCAGCTTGCACCTATACGAGAGAGAGTAAAAATAAGAAATAACTGAAAAATTAACCAAAGTAAAGCTTAGGAAAACTGCCACAAAAGGGGCTCATGTTTCAGATTAGGTGGGCTCCTTGTTGCTTACCAAAAAACAGTCTTGTTTTCTGTTTCTCTAATATATAGCTATGGAACAATAAAGAACTGGACGTGATCAGGAGAGTGGTCATAAGGACAGACTTGATTCATTGCAGTCAGTGCAGATTGAAAGGCTTTTCTAGGGTTTGTGTTAGTTGGAGGGAAATGGTCCAATATTATGATGCACAGAAAAGCTTGCTGGCATTAAGTTGTTGACAAAACTCTTGTTTAGAACAGGGGTGAGGAATTATTTCAGCTGGGGGTGCTGCTTAACAACTTTTAGTGAGCTGTGGAAGGCCTCAAAGGTAACCCCACCCCTTGAAAGGTGCCCTGCCCCCTGATTGCCATCTTGGGACTGGAAGTCCCACCCTCTAGCCCCTGACCTTTGCTACAAGATGTACTCCTTTTGGGAAGGGATTTTGACATGCTGGAACCAGAAAAAAGCCAAATCGTATACTAAAAATCCAACATCAGCTATTAACATATATTAATTTTAGTTCAAAAAATATTTTTGTTCTGATTTATGTGTGTTTGCATAATGTATAGGGGGGCTATTGTATAATAGCTCAAAATAAAGTCTTATTCTTGTATATTGTTTGTGGGATGTGGTTGGGGGGGGTGTGGGGTTTGTGAGGGTATCTGGGCCACCTGCCACAGCGCACAGCCCCTGCCTCTGGTGGCAGCAGCAGGCAGCAGATGCTCAGGGCGCTCGTGGCCCACAGCAGGCAGAGCCCCCCCAGGGGTGCGTTCCTCCAACTGAGTCCCAGGATTTGCAGGTAGTGGCACAGAGCTGGGCCGGCCTGCTGGCTCATGCCTTCAAACCAGACCAGCACATCAGGCTCCCAGCAGTGCATGTGGGAAGTCATGTGCCATCAGGCCGGGCCAGGCCAGCTCTGTGCCTCCACATGGGGCACCCAGCACTCCAGCAGGGAGCCACGTGTGGAGGCACAGAGCCAGCCCAGCCCAGTGGTGTACAGCTCTTCCCTACAGTGCCAGGAGCCCTGTATAGAGGCATGAAGCCAGCCTGGCCCAGCTGCAGTATTGGGAGCCACACATGCTGACACAGAGCCAGCCTGGCCGGCTTGATGGTATGCAGCTCCTAGAAGGAGTGCCGGGACTTGTGTGTGGTGGCATGGAACCTGCCTGGCCTGATGGCATGCGACTCCCTGGGGTTCCCAGTCCGTGTGTCATTAGTTTGAGCTGGCTGCATGCCATCAAGTGTGACTCCTGGCATTCCTTCTGGGAGCCATGGGCCATTGGGCTGGCTGGGCTGGCTCAGTCACAACATGTATGGCTTCTGGCACTCGAGCCAGGAGCACACTGGGCTGGCTTTGTGCTTCCACATGGGGCTCCCAGCACTGCAGGCAAGAGCCCCCCTCCCCGCTCACCAGCTGTCCAGTCATGTGCCATCACGCTCTGCACCTCCACATGGTGCTCCCAGCTGGATTGTCAGGAGCTGCACGGAGGTGGAGGCACAGAGCCTGCCTGATCCAATGGCACATGACCTCTGAAAGCCCACATCTCCCACCAGCTTTCAGTGGGGCAGCCGTGGGCTGGTAATAGTTTTTTGGAGGGGCCCTTCAGGCGGGATAGAATGGTTTTATGGACTGGATCCAGCCTGCAGGCTGCAATTTGCCCACTCCGGTTTTGAATTATTGAAAATGAATAGCCTGTACATGATTGAGTTCCTGCTTGATTGAAGTAGTAATGAAATAAAAAATAAGACTTTGACTAAATAAGGTGGGTGCTAGCATGGTGGTTCCAAGCACCTTACAAATAGACTAAATTCTCGCTGGTTTTTCTTTTACAGGCAGAGCAAGCTATATATGATCACTTTTCTGATCCGAAATTTGTTGAGCAGTTAATAAAGTTCCTATCTTTAGAAGACCGAAAAGGAAAAGACAAATTTAATCCTCGCAGATTTTGCCTCTTCAAGGTATTGAGACTTCTATGTGTAACTAGCTTTCTTTGTGTAGATAAAATGATCAAATAAAAGTGAAAAACATACACAGAGATCCATCCCATCGCTGTTAATATTGTTGAAAGCTTCGCAGTAATTGCCACTTTGATTAGCCTCACTAGGGTATGTAGAACGCCTTGCTGAGATTAAGAAAGACTTGGGTGTATTTTCATTTAAATATAGGAGAAGCAACAAATTAATTTTACTGCAGGTTGAGATCTGAATTTTTTTTAACTGCCTTGAAGTAATAACGCATTGGAAGTGTAACACACTGAGTGTGTCCACACGTGGCAGATTGCACAGTCATTTAGTATTTGTTTAAGCAAGTACTAAATGACTGTGCAGTAATTGGCATTACTGTGCTGTCCCATCACTGCATGGTTATTTTTAGACGCTATTGTGAGTTGCACACGTTCTTGGTGACTTTCTAATGCATCTGCATGTATTATCATCTTACTGTACTGTTTCTACACTCGTGTATCAGCTGTAGTAGTAGATGGAGCAATTTTTTCAAAAGAATTCAGGATAGTAAATAAGAAATAAAATATTCCAAAGAGATGATGCCTTAGCAGTTCAGTAGAAGTAACCATACAGGCTGTTGTTCTTATGGACCTGGGTATTTCATATTAACTGCATGTAACATTAAGCTAAAATTTAAAATAATGCTTAAAAACTTGTAAGTGGTGTAGAATAATTTCAAAACAATAAATGCTTTAAATTTATATTTTGTAACCAAACTTAACAGGGCCTATTCAGAAACTTTGATGATGCCTTCTTGCCAGTTTTAAAGCCCCATTTGGAACGGCTAGTAGCAGACTGTCATGAAAGTACCCAGCGATGTGTAGCTGAAATCATAGCTGGCTTGATAAGGGGCTCTAAACACTGGACATTTGAAAAGGTAGGAGTGGTGTGTGTGTGTTTTGAATGCTTCAAAATTCTGAAGACTTTTTTTAAAGGAATAAATTCTTGTTGGTTTGTTGGCAGGTAAGGTTCTTTGGGTAGACAGTTTGTTAACCTTTCCTTGCACGTTAATGTGTGGGCTGAAGAATTGCCTGCACCTTAGATTGGTGGTGCTCAATGTTTTGGGCCTGTAGGCAAGATGAATAGTGCAGGACCTGTCCGCAGGCTGGATTGGGCCCTGTGCGGCTTCTGTCAGCCCTGCATGCCTAGATTGGGTCTTGGTGCCCCACACAGGGCTTTGTGCTGGGATTAGGCCCTATGCCACTTGTTCTTGGCCCCATGCACCAGGATTGAGGCATGATGCCCTGTGCCACCCCTGCACTGCCCCATGTGCTGGGATTGGCCCCACCCATTCCCACATGCCAGGATTGGGCTTTATGCTGCCCTGCATGTCTGATCTAGCACACAGAGCCCTGGTGTCTGGGTCTGGAAATTTGGCAGCAGGTGAGTGGCAACCTGTCCCCCACTGCCAAACTTTCAGACTTGTGGGGAGCCCTCTGAGCTGGATGACATGGCTCTGGGGCCAAGAAGCCCCTCAGAGTTGAGCACTGACTTCTAGGTGCCTTGGTCTATTTCTGCAATTGTCAGTAAATGAAAAAAATCATTTAATGGAAGCCATTAATACCTACTATCAAAACATTACCCCAGTCTCACTTCTTGCTTCACAATAGAGTTATAAAATACTGCCAATCTGAAAAAAATGAGACTGCTGGGAGCAGTGCAGAGGCATGTGGGATAGGGCACACAGGCAGCAGAAACTGGTGGACCAGTCCATGGTGGAGGAAGAGGGAAGTGGGTTGATGAGAAATGGGAGAAGCATTGCAGGCCCCTGATGGTGTATGAACTCCTCAACCTTCTTCCCACTGCATCTCAAGCGTGGAGTTGAGGCATAGGGGATCCTTATGAGGGAAGGAGGTCGAAAGTGGAAACACATAATACATAATGCTGCTGTGATGGTAGAGGGAAAACGAGGAACCTGGCATGCAGGAAAAAGGGGCAGTTGAGCCCACTGCATAGGGGAGAGGGCTTTCAGGGGAGTCCTCAAATACAAAGGGATGGGAAGACAACGCATAAACTTGTGGGGAGCTGGAGAATGGAAGGAGTCTCTGGTGTTTGTAAGGAGCTCAGCCTACAGAAGCAACAGTGATAAACTCTGCAACTCCTATGGTGCTTCAAAACACCTGTAAACAAAGCAGAAAAAGATCTTACCAGTCTCTTTCGTGACAATATTTTTAAGACTAGAATGTTAACCTTCTGCAAGAAGCTTGCTTTGCTTTTTGGGAGGGTGGAAGAAAGGTGGGGGGGAGGTTTGAGTGTTAGAGCAGTTAAATAGGAACCCAAAATGGAAAAACTTCATCTTCTTGCCTTCTATTCATCAGGTAGAGAAACTTTGGATGCTTCTTTGTCCATTGCTTCGAACAGCTTTATCTAACATCACAGTGGAAACGTATAATGATTGGGGCACATGCATAGCAACTTCCTGTGTAAGTATTCCATATTATTTAACTTTGTTTGGGTTATTTTTGTAAGATTGAATAGATAATGGTAAAGTTTTGCCTAATATGTAAATAAATTTTTCATGGAGAAAAGATGTTTAAATTTATTGTGTTAAGATGGAATTTAGAGTACTAAATACTACTAAATATATGCATTGTACACTAGTCCTCGAATTACTACAGAAAATGATCAGCTGCTGTTGTTTCCAGAAATACAAGTTTTCATCTGCTTCCAAGGGGTTTTTAGGGGGCTATGGGTGTCTTTTTATTAAAGCTAGTGTTAATATTTACATATTTACTATAATGTTTTATAACCAGTACAGGCAACCCCGCTTAACACTGTTTTTCTTAGCACTATTTTGCTATAGAGCTTATTTAAAATTCGTACCCGATTCCACTGAGCGCTCAGCCAGTTTCATTATAACACTCAGTGGAATTGGTCAGTTTTGGTGGGCAGTGAGGTTGAGAGAAGTGGCAGTGATGACGAAGTGGCAAGTAGCAGCAAGTTGGGTGGGCGGGCTTGAGTGCGGGGCCCACGCTGGTTCCCTGAGGTCAGGGCAGGGCAGGGTGAGTTATATTTATTTACATTAATTTCTATGGGAAATTGGGTTTCACTTAGCGTGGTTTTGCTTAAGGCTCGTTTTTTCTGGAATCAATTAAGAGCACTAAACGGGGGTTGCCTGTACTAAACTCTTTTATATCCTTTTTGAACTTGGATGATAGACCCGTCCTCATTTGCTAAAATATAAAGTGTAGAGCTTTCTCATATGCTTGGCAAAAATAATTTAGGAAAACTCAGATTAAGTACTTTAAGGAACCCTGTTAATCTCTTGGCTATAGTAAGATTCCTGTACACTAGATGAATATACCTTTCGTAAGTTGGTTGCTTTATTTAATTGTCACAAATTGAAGTTCTTTACATTTTTTCTTTTACCCATACTGTGCCAGATTTTTAAGTAATGGCAGTGATTTGCCATGCATGAGTAAAATACCGTGATTTATGTCTTGTGCTGATTCTGTTTTCCTCAGATTACTTTGGGAAAAGTAAAACATTTATTTCATTTGCATAGTAGAACATTCTTAGGACTTAAAGATATTCAATACAAATATCTATCTTCTGTATGGCTTTGGTTAGAATTGGAATTTTGCTGAATTCCAATCACTGACGTATATAAATTTCCCCTCTTCTCTCCCGCAGGAAAGCAGAGATCCTCGGAAATTGCACTTTTTATTTGAACTCTTGTTGGAGTCTCCCTTAAGTGGTGAAGGAGGATCATTTGTAGATGCATGGTAAGAATTTAACTTTGTTTTTTAGTATGTATCTGTAAATTCTCCCTCTTCCCCTCTCTATAGAGATGTATCAAGTTAACTTCAAGCAGTTTTTCGTCCTGCCTGGAGGAAAGGCACACCAATTTGTATATCCCACGTAAACCCTTTTGCAATTGCAGCTTTTGCCTTTCCCCTACAGCCCTTAGACCTGTGTGCATAGGCAAAGGCATTGTGTAAAGTGCATCACTTTAACGCCATTCTAACAGGATTCAGTAACTATTGTGGAAATGCAGTGTTGATGTAGCAGTTATATTGTTTTATTTTGTGATTACACCCGGCATTTGGAATAAGATTTGGGCATAGAAAAACAATTTGTCACTTACATTTTGTAGTTAATGTTACAATATTGATGCTCTGATTTCTAGCCGGCTCTACGTATTGCAAGGTGGCCTTGCACAGCAAGAATGGCGAGTTCCAGAACTGTTGCACAGATTGCTTAAGTACTTGGAACCTAAACTCACACAGGTCTACAAAAATGTCAGAGAGAGAATAGGAAGGTCAGTGGTCTCTTCTGTAATTCGTTTTGTTCAGTGTGTACGTATATGGATCATTATTTTTAAATAATAGGATATACTCTGGGGTGTCATTGATCTTCTTGTACCTGAACACTGCTCAGCACGTTGGGTGTACTACTGAGGCTGTTAGGTGCCACAGTAATGCCCTTAAATTGCAGTGTAAGTGCTGATATCAAACTTTGGGTCATTTCTTCATTCTCGTTCTTTACATTGAAAATTCTTAACCTCTGGAAATTGCGTGTATCCAGTGCTTAATGTGGAATAAATGTAATGGGTAATATTTTTTTAAAGCATTTTGGTGACTGTAAAATCCTGTATGTAGGGATTCACAGTGGAAATGCACTGCGTAACAGCTCCTTTGATCATGTTCCTTTTGCCAAGCACCTGCCCTCCCCTGCTGATTGGCGGAGGGGCTCTGGTGGCCTTGCCACTTGCCGCTGATTGGTTGGGAGGCAAAACTGCAGTTTTAAATATGTCATGGTTTTTTACTTCTGCTGTCGATTTATCTGAGGGGCCCAGCAGCACCACCACTTGTTGCTGATTGACTGGGACATGGAAACTGCAGCTTTTTCTTCCCCGCCAAGTGACAGTGGGGCTGCAAGGCACCCTCAGCCAATCAGCTGTGAGGAGGAGGGTGGCAGCAAAAAGAGCAAGGTTAAAAGAGCCACTGTACCGTGTACTTCTGCTGCAGTTTAGGTAGGTTCCCTAAGTCTTAAACTCCAGCCAACAGCAGTACAAATTATGGATAATGGGTTTTGTTATGTGCAGGAGTTAAGTCTATCAGAAACATTTAGCTGTAACAAATACTGTGTGATCTACAGTTTGCCATCTTGAAGAAGGAGTTCTAGGCAGACAGTTGACCTCTTTTGTGCATGGTTTTTTCATAGATTTCATAGATGTTAGGGCTTGAAGGGACCTCGAAAGATAGAGTCCAGCCTCCTGCCCCAGGGGCAGGAAGTCAGCTGGGGTCATAAGATCCCAGCAAGATAAACGTCCAATTGCCTCTTAAATGAATCCAGAGGTCGTGCAAGCATCACCTCTGGCAGCAGTCTGTTCCAGGCCTTGGGGGCTTGGACTGTAAAGAAATTCTTCCTTATGTCCAGCCTGAGACGGTCTTTGAGAAGTTTGTGACTGTGATTGTAATGGTAATTGTAAATAAAGTATTTCTAGATATTAAATCGCAATATGTTATCAAGCTACCTTACCCTCCAAATACCTATTACTAGAAATCACTAAAGATGCCTGATCTAAATTATTAGAAATAGCAGCAATAGCTTATTTGTCTCTTGCTTTCTTAAATTACAAAGTGAAAGGCAAAGCAGGTTATACGTTCTCAACTCCTAATTTCTCTTCTATCTAACATTGAAATGCTTATATATAGTGATGCAGCTCAGTGTACTAAAGTATTTTGTCTTGGTGTGCTGTAGCATTTTGCTATGACTTGATTCCAGGCAGGCATCCTGAGTCAGAATGTCATTTCAGTCTTTCAGGTAGCATTTGTTTTCAAAAGGTTTACCTGGGGACAGGAGTTGATCTACTTTAGAAGAAATATTCAGTTTCAGTTAGTAAAGTGAAGCAAACAATAGTCACTGAACAATTCTTGTTATTTAAGTTGTGCAGTGAAATTAATATATTAAACTCTTGAACTATTTATTTTTAGTGTTTTGACCTACATATTCATGATAGATGTTTCTTTGCCAAATACTGCGCCAACAAAGTCCCCTCGTATCCATGAATTCACTACACGAATACTTGAAAAACTGAAACCCCTTATGGAAGTGGATGAAGAAATTCAGAACCATGTAATGGAAGAGAATGGAGTTGGTGAACAAGATGAGCGAACTCAGGGCATTAAACTCTTGAAAACCAGTGAGTTGCTGAATTTCATTTGTCAGAACATGTTACGTTGCCATAATACTCTGCAACTAAACACCATAAATATTTATAATCTGGAATTTTGCTTTATACCGAAGAGGTTTCTGTGGATCCCTTATAGTTTGGGCTGTGTCAGCTGATGCTGATAGCCGAGTGCACTCTGATTTACATTACTGTTCCCTTATTAGCAATATTACTGAGATTTTGCTTGCAAATTCTAATGCCAAGAATACAGTTCAACTTGCTACTAGTACAACCCCAGTGATTTAATTGGATGTCTTTTGGGTTTTACTATTAGTAAATCTGACTTGACTTGTTTTTTGCTTTTGATCTTTTTATTCTATTTAACACTTCTCTTTTATACACAGTCCTGAAGTGGTTGATGGCAAGTGCAGGTCGGTCCTTCTCCACAGCTGTCACAGAGCAACTCCAGCTTTTACCGTTGTTTTTCAAGGTAATTCTTTTTCATTTTAATACTGAATTGTTCATGTTTGAAAGGGTGTTTGGAAAAAAACTAAGAAGTTGTAATTAAAATAGAAAGCTGCTTAAATATAGCACACTTGGTCCTTGCTTACTTGCCTAATTCATTTATTTATTCAATTTGTACCACCCTTCTCAACAAAAGCTTGTGTGTGAAACTGATAACCTTGGGCTTAAGAAGCTGGAACCACTATTTTTAGTTGTCTTCTGGAAATAACTAATATATACATATCCTGTATCCCTAACATTTTATGCATACAAAAGGAAGTGTTATTACCCCATGAGTAATTACCTTTATCAAATGTAGAAATATCTACATGCCATTTACGATGCAGCAGTTCATATTAAAATGTTATTGTCTATGTGTATCTTATCATTGGGCACCCAATAAAACTCATTATAATGATGTCTGTATTAAGCAAGTGAGCTTTGTATCCACTTACAAAGTTGCTGTGACACACAAGTACTCCTCATTTGTAAGCGTTTTACATTTACTGAACTTTAAACCAGCTAAGTGTTTCTCAGAAGACAGATTTTAAAATACAGAAGTGCTGAAATGTCATAAATGTGCATGTTCTGAAATGACTAGCCTAGTTGTGTAATTTTTACTACTGAAAGTTATTTAAACAAATGCAGAAGTTTTGTTTCTTCTTGCATAACATATTGCTGTTTATAAGGAAATTTTTCTTCAGCAACAGTTATTTCCTGAGTGTTCCATTTGATCTTGTCTTACAGATTGCCCCAGTAGAAAATGATAATAGCTATGATGAACTCAAGAGAGATGCTAAGATGTGTTTATCACTAATGTCTCAGGGGTTGCTGTATCCTCAACAAGTGCCTTTGGTACTTCAGGTGCTAAAACAAGTGAGTCTGGTCTAAGTTATTAAAATGAAAGTTTAAGACTATGAAATGTGCTAAGCTTTTTCTTAACTGTCATCTAACTATCATATTGACTGCTAAGGCAAGTGCAAAAATATTCTGCCATTTCAGAACTTTTTTTTCTGCTTTTTTTTTGTCTATAGCAACACTGTTGCCAATGTAGCTGCTTTTATCACTTATATCTATGTTGGAGTAGCAAATTTAACCAACATAAGTGATTAGATAACTTCTGGTTGCAATTGTAATTTGCTGAAAACCATGCAAAAAGGCAGAACTGAGGAGAGTTGTCTGTTTCTGCTGGAGGTTCTGTAATGGATTCTTATTTGTATTTGGTCATCAAAATGGAAATTGGCACAGAATTAACTAGCAACATTAATTAAAGTCATTAAAATGTTTTGCTGAATAGAAATGTTTACTAATAGCAAGGCACTGAAAATTTTCATAAAGGGCTTCATTCTGATTTGATCTTTCTACTAATATGTCCATTGTTTTAAAATATAATTGAATTGAAAAATAACTCAAATGTTCATTCTTACTACAAATACAAACCTTATAAAAGGAAAAACAAAATCTGATTCGAGTTTTAATATTCTTTTAAACATTTGGCCCCCACAAGATTTTTTTGCTGGGGGAAGAGGTATTTTCATTTCTTAAAATTAAGTTATAGATCAGTAATTCTCAACCAGGGTTATTTGAGATCTTTTCAAGGGTGTGGGGTGTCTCACCATTAGGTATGCAGACATGATTCACAAGATAAACCCAGAGGTTTCAAGTAAGATTTTCGTAGTATTAAAAATATTCCAAACTGTTGTAGTCATTCTTTGCAACAGAAGAAATATTTAGTTTCCTGTCAGTCAAAAAATAAGTGAAAAATTAAGAGCCGGCATTTTCAGAGGGATGCTTTGAGTGTAATGAGAGGTACCTTGAGTTTTAAAGGTTGAGAACCACCGGTTCAGTAGATTCAGTAATGAGTCAGTTTCAAATAACATTATCACTTCAGAGAGATCCTCAACTTGAAATTCATTTAAAAAGTAAATCAAAATGTATTGTCAAAATGCAACACACTACAATAGGTTCCCCTGCATTTTGGGTCAGGTGAGGGGTTACAGTATTTTTCTGTTTTTAAAAAACATGCCTTTCCACTACTTTGCAGAAGACTCACACAAATGAAAAATAAAATTGACTGTATAGGGAGATGGAGAAACTGACTAGGTATAGCGTAGTCAACACACAGTAGGAACTGAGGAATCTCTTGGAAAAAGTACCCATTGTGGACACCTTTTTTCATAGTTTAGACTTCTAGAGCACTACACATAGGATAAAATGGTGACTTTTAGCATAATTTTTTCCGAAGTCCACTATATGCAAAAGATTTCAATGTGCAACTGAGAAGATCCAACATTTTGGCTTATTCATAAAAGGCAAATGAATGAGACTGAATAAACCAAAAGGCATGACCTGTTTAAATGCTTTAGAGTTGAACCTAAAAATACAAGTTAAAAAAAAGCTCAGTAGAATAAAATATTTCATTGATAATTTGCTATAGCAACAACCAAATATATAACTTGATTTTGAAACGAACCAACAGTTTACTTAGATACCCTTATTTGTAATTCTGACTACTTTGTTCTCTCTCTTCGCAGACAGCAAAAAGCAATTCTTGGCATGCTAGATATACAGTACTAACCTACCTCCAAACCATGGTATTTTATAATCTGTTTATCTTCCTCAACAATGAAGAAGCTGTCAGTGACATCAGATGGTTGGTAATAAAGCTACTGGAAGATGAACAGCTTGAGGCAAGTATAGTAATTTAACTGTCAGTGAAGGGCAATGAATGCAAAAAGAAAAAGCGGAAGGTAGTATTTCCATGTTTCTTTAGCATAGGTGATGCGTAGGGAGGGCATGGGGGGGCATGTGCTCCCCACCCCCAGATTGGCCTGCGCTTGCTGATGAGTGGAGGCGCAGAGAGAAGTGCCAGCTGGTGCTCCCCTTGAGATGGGCGCCATCCCCGGAGTGGGAGTGCTTAGCGCCAGTGGCCCTTCTGGTTTTGCTGCCAGCATACCCGGTTTTGCTGTTGGCACTTCCGGGGTCAGCAGTCGGCTGCTGGGGGACACCCCTCCACCCCTCTTCCGGTCAGCGATTGGCTCAGGAGGCACCAGTCTCCCATGTTCTTTAAGATGCCTAGTTGCTTACCTTACGTTGTATAACCTTGTACAAAGCATAGAAGATGACCTGTAATTAACACTAATACAGAAAGAGCTTTAGTGTTTTGCAGTATATTCTAGCTGTATTATATATGGCTAAATACAGATCATCTTCAATATGCACACGTGCACACCTAGCTATATATTTTAGTTATGTATACCTCTTCACCTTTTATATAAGCTGTGTAAAATTGTATTTTATACAAAATACGCTTTTGATAAGAAAATAAATATTCTAGAAAATGTTTTATTTGCAGTAATATAAAAGCAAAATTCTCACAGTGCTCTCAGATTTCAGCAGTAGGAAGTATAATATCACTAGAGTATAAAGGATAGCATGGAAACTCAACCTGCAGATTAAAATAAATTTCTACCATCACAGCTGACTTGTTTAAAAAAAAAAAGTTTGTACTCAGCAGACCTGCTTTGTTTGCAATTAGTCATTTTAGCATATTGTTGTGACAGGTTTTTTGGTGGGGTTTTTCTTTTTTAATTTCATTTTGTTCATGTAGGCAGTATTGGGTTTACAGCACCATGAGCAAGTGAACTGGACTTTATAAATATTCCCATGTCTGATGAAGATAGTAAGTTCCTACTGCGGAACCAAATTGTGTCTATCGCAGACTTGCGAAAGTACGTGAAGACAATAAGGTTCAACATTTCTTGCAGAATCTTTTATTGTGTGCTACTGAAGCTGTTCCCTTGGGCAGCTAAGAGGGCAAGATATTTATGGGGTCAAACTGAACAAGCAAGAGGGATTCTGACTGTCTCAAAGAAGGGCACTCATTTGAGGGGGAGGAGTCTTGGGTTTTGGTCTCTGATATTGGGACTAGTAACTGATTTCAACAGAAGTAGCCCTGGAAGCAGGAACTGTAACACAGGGCTCCCCACTCCCATGGGAGGGCTTCTCTTACTGAGCTTACAGAATTGTTTGCCTGCTAATCTGGCTCCATGAACTGCATTCTTGGCCACCCAGTTGGACAGCTTCACTTGGAAGGGTAGAGAATCTTAATCCATAGCATGGTGGTTAGGGTGCTGTCTTAGGAAGTGGAAGGTGTACATTTATATTCCCTGACGTAGTAGGGTTTGAAACCTAGATCTCTGACTTCCTGGGCAAGTGTGCTAACCATTGTGCTGTTGTACAAAACATGGTTACCACCACTGGCTGTGAGTAGCAGTAAGCATGGAGGGTACAAGTGGTTTTTGCTGAATTCACTGCTGCTGTTGATGCATCCTGTCTGGAAGCTGCATTCTGAGATAACGGAGATGCTCATGTGCAGCCTGAGTTGTGTTCTAAGCTCCGAAGAGGAGAGGGCATTCAGATATTCTTATGTCTAGCATTTCCTCTTGGCTAGCTGTAGGCCTAGCCAAGTACTTAGTGCCTAGGCACTCTAGATTGCTTATGGGAAGTTTTTCCATCCACTGTAGAGGAACTGTAGGTGCCAAACTTTAGAATTCGCCTTGTGGGATAAGCTGCCTAAATTTTAGGCAGTGTCATTGTTGACACAGACCGTTTGGATCTGGCTCTTCAGCCTTGTTTGTCAGATTGAGGCCTCTCTGGTGATGGAGTGAGGGGGGGGCCAGGCCAGGCTAGGGGAGGGTCGGAGCCTAGGCAACTCATCAGGGAGGATGGGGGGACTCCTGCTGCTGCATGTATCATCTCCCACCCCTCCCCCCTGGGATCTGTGCATGGCACGAGGTCACTTTGCACCCCAAGCTGCAGTGGGGCTTGGGACGGAAAACCCAGTGCGCAGCAGCAGCTGCCTCACTCCATGCACAGATCAGGGGGATGTGTGTCCCCCTGGCCTCCACCAAGGTGCACGCAGCAGCGGGAGCCCCCCACACTCCAAGACAAGCCACCAAGGCTCTGACCCTCCCCTGGCCCATCCAGGGCACCACTCACCCCCTGGCAGGGGGTGCGGCTCAGCCGAGCCACATGCATCCCACTACTCGTACATCCCGCTGCTCCCCATGTGCGTCCCACCGCACCCGATTGTGGAGCCCCTGACAGTCTCTCAGTCTGGGGGGCACTACCCCAGACTGAGAGACTGTCAGGGGTTCTCCAGTTGACCAGTTGATCACAATCAACTGGTTGGTGACGCCTGCTGTAGTGCCAACTCCAGTTTTCAGCAGAGCTTCTGCATACCTGTCACACACTGTAGTGTTAGCAGAATAAGCCAGTGAGCCTGTTTTAATGTTACCCTTTCCAGTCAGAGCATTCAGAACAACTAGATAGGATTTTTGTAAATGGTTTGTTCATTTTTAATAAGTTCACATGCGCAAATATTGGGTAAAAGGTATGTCCTTGTATTGCTTAGATATAAATCAGAAAAGGCTTGTTTATGGAATAAGTGCTTATGATCTTGTTACCATAGAAACTTTGCTTTACTGTGACCATCCTTTTTTATAGGGATTAGCAAATTCCAATCTGTTCAGCATTTACCACAGAATTGTTTTCATTATGCTGTTTTTAAGGTGAAGCTTATGATTTCAGTATAAAATCTAATTTTGAATGGCTTATATCTTTCTTTTGACCTGAAACTTAACATATGGGTTCTCAGTTTTTCAAGCGTTTTTTGCCAGTAAGATGTTAAAATTGATGGCTCACTTTTTTTCTTTAAATCTTAACTCTTCAAATTTTGGTGGGATCTCAGGATTTACCATTTAGTTCAATGTAATCCCACATCTTTCTTAGTCATTTGAAGGAAAAAAAAAACACCACGTAAAATCATTGCTGATACAATTTTCAGACGGTACAAAATTAATAAATGACAGACTTTCTAGTTACATAATTAATCTGGATCACTTGGTGGCTTGGATGCAATAAAACACCAATTTTAATGCATTGTGGAAGGTGCTGACTGGAAGAGAGTTTTAATGATCACGAGCTGGCTCGTGTGTGAAAGAGCAATTGTGATCCTGAGGTATATGGACAAGAGAAATAGAGTGAAGGCAAGGGAAGTGATTGCCTCTGCAAACCATACCGGGGAGATGACCACTACTGGAGTAGTGTGTCTGGTTCAAGCCTGTCTTCTAAAATGATTGGTGGGGGGATTGAGTTTTTAATTAGTGATTGGATCAGTCTAGAATATTTGTAGAGCAGGGGTATCAGATACTTCAGGATTCTTTAACTGAGAGGACGTTTGTCCAGTGGCTAAAAGCTGAAGCTAGAGATATTAAATTGAAAATATGGCACAGATTTTTCTAAGTGAAAGCAGCAAACCACTGGAACATCTTGCATAGAAGTAACACATTCTTTATTCCTTGAAGTGTTAGAATTGGTTGCTTATCCAAATTATATGCACTAGTCCGAACTACAAGTTATTTAGTTGGATGCAGGAATTTAGTGCTTGATGTTCTGCAGTTTTTGTTATACAGCTCCATTTTGATATTAAAATAACAAGTGAAACCACCCACACAGACCCACCCAAGGGTCCCTTAAAATGTTTATTTTCTGAACAGCAAAACATCTGATGTTTAAAATGAGATTGACAGGGGTGGGCAGTTATTTCAGGTGGAGGGCCACTTACTGAGTTTTGGCAAGCCATCAAGGGCCGCATAACAGACAGCCAGGGCAGATGAATATTAATTTTTAAATTTTTAATTTCTAAATTTTTTAGGGGCCTCATGGGTCAGATAAAATGGCCTGGCATGCTGCCTGCAGGCTGCATTTTGCTCACCCCTGTGTTAAATGAACCAGACTATGTCAATTTATATAGCCTACCTTAGGCCAGCTTCGATTGGGGCTGTTCTCCTCTTCTGTTTTCTCCTCTTCTAATCTGTTGTAGGAAGTTCTCCAGAGAACAGCTGCTTTCTTTTTCTTTTTATGCTTTATATGCAGCAAAAAATCTCTCTTCATTTACTCTATATCACAACTAAATGTCCTAGCTAGAATCTGTTTTATATTTCACTATAGTCTTCCTTTTAAGAATCTTAAGCCCACACTTACAAAGGTATTTAGGCAGCTGACTTGCTGACTTCTTATGCGGTGTACTCTTTTGAGATTACTTGATCCCACCTTTTCCTTTGTGGGATTTGTCTTCATTTTGCTTGCTTACTCCCTTTTTGTTTTAGTATTGGTGTGTCACTAAAGACTATTGGTTATCATTAACTAAAAGGAAGCTACTGACAGCAGTTTGATTTCCTCTATATAAATGGATATTAAGAAAATCCAGTGTAAATGAAAAACATTTCAAAGAACACTTCTGCTCTTTGGATTTTACATCATCGTATGAGTCTGTAGATTTTTAAATCTAAGTTGTTAGTGAGCTGTGATACAGCTATGTGAGAGCTATAAGTATGTACAATTTTAAGTAGGGGTACACTGATAATTGGGCTGATACCGATAGCTGCTGTGCAGCCTGGCAGCATGGAAACCAGCATCTAGCTGGTAAGTCTTTGTTGGGGGGAAAGGGACATGGGGGGGGGAACAGATTGAGGCCCCCATAGTAAGGGGGGGAGTGGGGCAGGCACTGCCCTGCTGGGCAGGGCACAGGGTGATGCCAACAGCTTATCTGGGGGGGCAGCTCCTGCCTCTGCATGCACCCCTGGGGGATGCATGGGGGGGCATGTGCCACCCCCACAACCCCTGGATCTGTGCACAGAGTGAGGGTGGGCTGCCCACTGCATGCTTGTGGCTGGGGCTGCTCCAGCCTCTTCCCGGCAGCTGTGCTCAGGCTCAGGCTAGGTGGGGCAGGTGGCAGCAGCACTGGAAGGGGAGGCTACTGCAAATGTTGGGGTGGCTCTAGGCCCCTCTCCCAGAACCACTGCCACCCACCCTGCCCCACCAGCCTGAGTGCAGCTACCAGGTAGAGGGGTGGAGCAGCCCTGGACCTGAGTGCACAGCAGGCAGCCCACTCTCTCCCCACACACAAATTGGCAGGGGAGTACATGCCCCTGTGCCTCCCCCAGGGTTGCACACCATGGTAGGAGCCACCCTGCACCCCCCAGATGAGCCATCAGCTCTGTCCCATGCCCTGGCCCCACTCCCTTACCATGGGGGCCTCAATTTGCTTCTACCCCCCCACTCAATGTTCCTTCCCCCCAACAGATTTGCCATCCAGATGCTGTTCTCCAAGCTGCCAGGCTGCATTCCTGGTCACATGCATGCTGTAGCTGCGCACATGCATGCAGCATTTATCTGTGACATTATTGGCCACATCAGCCAAGAAAAGCCAATTGCCAATAATATCAAATTTCCTTTTATCATTGCTGATACAGTATGAACCAGTGTATTGGTGCACCTCTAATTTTAAGTGCATTATTTCTAAATGCTCCCTTCAGCGATGTGTTCCTGTTAGTAAGTTTATTAATCTGAGGCTACTGAAAATGGATTTTAATACAGTGAACAGTAAAGTGAATGACTACAGATCCCTTGTGAGTTTGCTCAGTTTACAGCCAAAATTCCTCTTATTCTGGGACTTGCATTAGCACTTCATGTTTCATTCAATAGCATAGTCCTTATGAGGCTCACCAATTGCTGAAAACCAATACTGGCAGGCTCTCGCTTCATACTTTTCTATGCTGTTAATAAAGTTGATCATGTTTGACTAATACACTGTGGAAGTATAAATGGAAGGGAAGGATGTCTCAAGAGTCTACTGTTAACTCACTGTTTAATTATCACAGCACTTGCAGCTATACTTGCTGCTTTGTGGAGGTTCAGAACATTATGTTCAAGGATATAATTTATTGTGATCTTCTGCATTGGATTCAGAGCATTAGTAGGTGTTTGTACTCTAGATAGATGAACGTTCTGTTTACAGTTAAGTGTAACAGTATGTACTTACCACTAAATGTGGCAACTGCTGTTAATATTTTTAACAAGTTTAATTCAGATTTTTAAAAGTTTGGAGTTTTTTGTTAGCTAGTATATGTGTGCACCTTTAATAGAAGTGGACTTATTGGTAGGATCACATTTGAGATAAGGCAGAACCTATGGTTCTAGCGCTTTTATGAAATTAATTGATTTTAATGACAGTAAGAATGGGGACATGGCTGAGTAAGCATACGTAGTTTTGGAAGCCAACAGTAAATTTGGCTGCAAATACAATTAAAAAAACATTTAATTGAATTAAAAAATAAACTATTGTACTAAGAATGCACGACTTACCAGCTGAAATTGTGATTTGTCTTGTACTTTTGGTAATGAGTGACCAGAGATGATACAAAGAAATTTTACTGATGATTTGACTAGGACCCATGGCAGTAAAGTGAATGAGTGCCTCAGTTTTATAGGATTGAGTTGGTAACTACATTTTACTCTTGTCTAATAATATCAGTTTTACTACTTAGATGCCGCAGAATTTTTACATTATGAATAGAAAGGAGGTAACTTTAGTCTTTAATTCTCTGTGCAGTAGACAGCTTCACAACATTCACCTAGAGTAATCTGTATTGTGAACGTACATTTTTAAATGTGCACACTAGGAAGATGATGTTGCTGTTGTCAGGTCTTTCATGTTTGAGTAAAATATGGAAGAGCAGAAGTTATCTACGTGTTTCCTATGTAAACTAATTTTAATACAGTGATTACATTAATGGATAAAGCAGGTATCTCTGTAATTGTGATATTACTGTGGTAGAAAAGGTATAAATAAGAGGCATTGTAAATTGCTTGAGAGGACATATTTGTCAGCATACAGGTAATATTTCTAGCAGGTCAAAAAATCACATAGCTTACAGTGTAACTTGCTTCAAGCTGAAGTTACATAAACGCTGGGAGCAAAGAATGATTAATTTTATATGCCACCCTTTCCAAAAAAAGGCTCAGGGCATAGATCACTAATTTTGGCTACTTGTAGGAAGAGAGCTTTTAACTGCAGGTGTATTGTGGCTATCAATTTTCTTTGCTTGCTTGCTTGTTTGTTTGTAAGTGACCATTTTAATAGTAATGGTGGTATTTAATGGCCTGTGAAGATGAGAGGATAAAATTTGAAACACTTCTCAAACACAGTGACTTAACTGACAGGCTCAAAAGCGCAGCAGTGACATTAAATGGGAATTGATGCATCTGATTTCTTTTATCACAGGTGAGAGAAATGGCTGCTACCACACTGAGTGGTCTGTTACAGTGCAGCTTCCTCACTATGGATGGTCCCATGCAGACTCACTTTGAACAGCTCTGCAAGATGAGGTTACCAAAAAAGAGAAAACGAGACCCTGGCACCATAGCAGATACCATTCCTTCTGGAGGTAAAAAAGCAAGTTCTACCTTTTAAAAAGCTGGCTAGGGAAGATTAAAATGTTCTGTGTTCTTTCACCAGCTGATTATGTGAGCATGCCCCACAGTGCAGGTGTTTGCTTATAGAGATTTACAGTTAAATGTTTGTAAATGATTTTTGTTCATCAATCTCTGCTTTTGCCTGTGCATGACACAGGGAGAAGGAGACCTGCTTGTAAAATCCTGATTTCAAATAGATGTATTGAATAATCTTGCAGCATAAATGATGAATAATAGTATACTGCTGTAAAGTAGGGAATGTAGATTTTACAGTGTGCCTTTTCCTTTAAAAATAATGAAAGAGCTGGAATTAGTGACAGTAAAGTTTGGTCTGCATCTGCCATGGAAGCATATCTTAAATGTTAGAAGCATATACTGCCACAGCTCTGTTATCGTCTTTCCACTGCAGACCTGGTTAAGCGCCATGCTGGTGTGCTAGGACTTAGTGCATGTATTTTGTCAAGTCCCTATGATGTACCCACCTGGATGCCCCAGCTGTTGATGGACCTCAGTGCTCATCTGAATGATCCTCAGCCTATTGAGGTAAGAACACCTACTCTTAATCCATTCCTTTTCCTGTTTTAATATAGCAAAACTAAAATATGTTGCTTGTCCTCTGATGAAAGTCTGTGAAGGAATGCATTCATTACAGAGGGTGGGAGCAAATGCAACACTTCAAGCACTACAAAGTGCAGCTGCACTTTGAAGCACTTCAAAAATGGAATATTTTAGACACAGAGACATGTACAGAGCCCTGCCACATACCCCAGATGGAGTACTTCAGTACCAAATGCAGTGCCCTGCTATTTGGCAAGGGGGTGTGACAGGGGTCTGTAGTGACCCGCAGCTCCACTCCCCACTACCACCACTACCACCATGGCAAGGTTGGGAGTGGAGTAGACTGTCAATGTGGCTCTGCTTCCCTACAATTCCACCAAATAAGGGGGCATGGAACAGATGTCAGTGAGCTCTCTCCTGTTTGCCCTGCCTCTTTCTAAGGGAATCATCCCTGCTGGAACTAGGAGACCAGATGCAGAGAGGTACACAGGGATAGGGACTTGGAGAGTAGGAGTGCTGGTTCCAGCAGGAGAGTGGGGGAAGCATGAAGCCTCTAATCTTCTGCTTCCAGGAGGTGGAGTGGGAAGAGGGAGCACTAACTGACAGTGTCCTGCTCTCTCTTCCTAATAATAATGTTTGGAACCGCTCCTTATATGATCCATCTCCAGCTTTCCTTGCAAATTATTCATATGGAGAGAGCCAAAATTGTTTTGGGGTTTGGGTTCAGTGACACCTGAGCCCACCGCCAGTGCAAATAAAATAGAAATTCAAGAGGAAGAAAGAAAACAGTTTCAACTAATGTGGATTAGACAGTATCGTAAGTGGCTTCAGGCTTGTAAAAATTTTGCAAAAGGTGCCCTTGGTCCATGAGACTTAGCAACTATTGACTGAGAGGTTAGAAGTAAAAACTAGACCTGTAAAAATATGAAACCTGAAGCCCAGATTGGATACTTTTTTGGGGTCCTTAGCCTCAGAAAAATCCCAACATATATACACACTCTAGTGCAGCCATTTCTTCAAAATAAGCACTTCCTATTGCATTTAAATATTTTTATCCTGTTTCTGGGATCTTTTGATGCATATAGAATCATAGGAAAGTACAGCTGGAAGGAATGTCAGGAGGTCATTTAGTTCAGGTCCCTGCTCAAGGCATGATCATCTTTGACTCGACCATTGAGGCTAACTGTTTGTGTAATCTGCTTTAAATAATTCTAGGTTTTTCTGTCCTTTCTCAATTTGAAGATATACATGGTAATCCATATTCTGTCTGAAATTAATGAGAAGGTAGGCCAGGTGGCTGGTTAGAGACTGAGGATAGAAATGGATGTTGTATTTATCCCGGAAGAAACTGTTTTATCCTGAGACAAAGTGCAGTCATTCAGACATCCGTGTTTGTTGCAGAACAAACCCTAAAAAGGTTTATGGGATAAGAAGTGTGCTAACAGTTTGTACTGGGATGTTATGAAATGTGTCTGAATAGTTGTCCTAGGATTGCATCATTGAATCAGTGCCAGAAAAGTAGCAGTGCATTTGACTGCTCACTAAACCCTGATTGGAAGAGCAGTGTGTCTGCATGCCAATACTGGGACTCTTCTCTGCAGGGACAGCTTGTCCTGGGACAAATCTGTTCCTAGCCTAACTGGTTCTGAGGCATGACCTTAGGTAGAAATGTACTTCATCAGATGTAATTTGAAGAGAACTGAGTCTTCCCTCATAAGCTATGTTTACCAGATAGAGTCATTTTTGTTGCTCTCTTTCTAATTTGCCCCTACTTTTCTTAAAGTGCAGAGCCCAAAACTGGACGTGGTGATTTAGATGAGGCCTATCAGTGCCCAATAAAACAGAAGGATCATTTTCCTTGATTTGCAAGTGACACGTAGTACACCAGTGGCTTCTTTTGCGACAAGAGCATATTGGCTTATATTCAGTTTATGGTCCATTCTAACTCTTGCTTATTTTTTCTTCAGTACCACAGCCTAGCCAATCATTCCTCAGTCTGTATTTGTGCATCCAGTTGTTCTGTATCTAAGTACAGGACTTTAAACTTGTCATTACTGAAGTTCATGTAGTTGATTTTTGAACCACTTCTCCAATTCATCAAGGTAATCTGAATCCTAGCCTTACCCACATCTCTGCCCATCTTGGTGTAAATTTATCAAATGTGCTCTCATTCACATCCTCCAAATCTGTTAATGAACATATTAAACAGTATTGGACCCAGAATGGACCCCTGGGGAAACCTATACTGCATCTCATCCCAGCTGGACATCAAGCCATTGAAGACTACTCATTGAGCACATTGATCCAACTGGTTGTGTATCTGTGTTACAATACTTTCATCTAGTCTGTATTTCCATAGTTAACTAATGGGATTGTCATGGGATGCTGGTGTCGGAAGCCTTGCTAAAATCAAGATATAGTATATCTGCTGCTTCCCACCCATCCACAGAGCCTTTCACCTTGTCACAGAAGGAAATCAAGTTGGTTAGGCATGAATTGCTGTTGATGAATCCATGCTGACTGTTGGATCACCTTGTTTTCCTTCTGTTGCTTGGAAGTTTCCTTACTAACCTTCTCCATGTTCTCTCCTGGTATTGAGATCAGATAGTGATGTATAATCCCTTGGACACTCCTTCTTCCCTTGATTTAAAATATAAAGTGATTTCATAAAAATATTTTTTTCTTACACAGATGACTGTAAAGAAAACTCTGTCCAATTTCCGGAGGACCCACCATGACAATTGGCAGGAGCACAAACAGCAGTTCACTGATGACCAGCTGCTTGTCCTTACAGACCTCTTAGTATCACCCTGCTATTATGCATAAATAAGGTAAACGTGCATGTGTTTTGGTTAAGTTGGGGAAACACTGCTGCCTTTTGTGAAATCTGCTGTAGCCATCTACTTGGACAGAGTGAAGGAAAAGGGCCTCAACTCCAGAGGATAGTGTTCTCTCCAAACTAACACTTTATCCAGCTCAGGGGAGCATCTCCTGTTGGCTAAGAACTGATAGTGATCAGCTGTGTTTGTATATTCCCTTCCTTACGCTTTTTTTAGACTACATTTTTTCTGGTCCCCGTTTGCTCCCACCCCTTTGCCAATTAGCTTCCCCTTGAGCATCTGTCACAGGACCCATCACTAAAGAAACACTGAAGTACTTCTCTATACCTCACCCTACCCTAAGAGCAAGTACAAGTCTTTGGCTTGTAGAACTTTGATTTCCTGTTTGCTGAAACTGTTAGTTTTGAAGGGAAATTATTATTTTTGTTTTTATTTTGTTCTACAGTATTAACTTTTTTTTGTAACTATTTCTGTTTCAGGTTTCATTTGGAAAATGAGGATGTAGAAACATTTCCGCAAAATAAAGGAAACTCAAAACTAATTTATCGTGTAGAGAACTTGGTTTTGGAACTATTTTTAAATGCAAATATTCAAGTCCTGAGCGGGCTCTATTCATCAAGAACTCCAGCTCCACACGGAGCAGCTATAAGAGCCTTGCAGTCTTCCATAACTGCATCTGTGGAGCCTGGTTCTGACATGTTACAAAGTTCCATGTCACTGGCCTGTGTTACAAAACTGCAGTTATTTCTCATGCACAGTGGCTTATGCTGGATGTCTCTTCTCTTATCTCATCTTCTCTCTTCTGCCACATCCCCAGCCATTTTTAAGCAGTAGATATGCAGAACACACAGGATTGTGAGAGTCGGAACCTTCTCAGTGAACCTCTCCAATTTTGGTTTATTTAACTTTTTATCTGATTGACCTGCAAGACCAGGAGCCAGTTTTTTTCACAGAGGATTTATTTTTCACTGCATGGGTTTGAGCACCCATTAGATGATGGCCCTGTATCATTTAATCCACCTCAGATCTGGATTACTTTTTATAATCTCTATATAAATGTAAATATCCATTCTGCCTTTTGCAGCCTTGTTCGGCAGGGCAGGAAGCAGGAAAACTTACATGGCCTAGCTGAGTTTTAACAGAAGCTCAACCAGGTGTAGAACACAAAACCATGACCATCTGCAGCTTTCTAAAGCGGGTGGAAAGGCTGGGAATCCTTTCAGATGAATAGAGCCCATAGATGTGAAGTTCTTGTCTCCAAGCAATGTTTCAATTAATAGAATGAAGAATATATGCTTTGTGCATAAAAGCACTGAATGGCTGACTTTTTTTTTTTTTAAAAAATACTCTCATTTACAAAGACTCTTAGTTGCTATTTGAACAAGCATCCCTTGCATAAATGGGAGACTGCTAAGATAGTGGAAGTTCTATATATTTTTTTTTGCCTGCAACTTTGTTCAAAGACTGATATCTATTGGCTATTTAATGACATGTTTAATATGTGTTACATAGATGTAAAAGACTGTATAAATTGTAGAGGCATTGCATTGATGAAACATTGTACAGTTTGCAACCTTTTACATAACACCATTGTGAGATTATTTTGTAAAGATTCACACTTAGATGTTAATACTATAGTGGTATTGGCTTTTGTATCAAATCAAATGCCATTAGTTTTTTTTAAATTATTTTCTTTAACAGAATATCTTTCCATGTCTAAAAGGCAGAGATTTTATTTTGTTTTGGGTTTTCATTGATCTCATTACTTATACCTGATGCAGATTTTTAATGCAATGTTTGTGGCCATCTCTAAATGAAGACATCACATGTTTTGATGTGGTAAGTTTATAGAATGCAAGGTACTTCCTACATTGAAATAAATTCCCAAGTTGGTGTGTGTTTCATCTTTCATACAGCCAAACTGGAACACTATGATACAATTTGAATCATCTACTGGCTGAGTATGTGACTCAATCCAAACTTAAAAGCACAGCAGTGTTCCTAGTACAGTATTTAGTAAACGTCAGCACACAGATGTAACCACTGTATAGCGTAGTGTCAAAATTATTTCAATCGTGTACCTAGTTTAAAACCCAATAAATGGATTGTTTGTAACATCTGCATTTTTCATCTTTTCAAAAGTAGACATTCATTGTGTAAAGAACAGAATGTAGATTTGTCTGCTCTGATTTTTCTCTGGAGATTGTGTCAAATCTTCATACCTGCTTTTCCTGTGGTAAGAGTTTATGCATTATATATAATAATATACTTGTTTCAAAGCCATTTTATATTATTGTATGTATAAATGTAGCCTCTTCACCAGCCACTGAAATACTTTACCTCAGGACTAGACTATGACATCTGTTTTAACGTCACACAGCATGTGAATGAATAATGCTGCATTAATTTGAATTCAGGTTGTAATTTGAAGCAGGCACAATTGGTATTTACTAGGGCTGATCAAAATAGCACTGTTCCATTTTGACTAGAGTTTTGAGGTTTTGATGGAACAGCGTTTTGTTTCAAATGTCACTTAAAGTAGAAACAGCTGTTTTGTTTTGCTTCATTAAAACAGTGAGGCTGTTTCGACGTTTCATCCATTCGCTATAATAGGGAAGCTTGAAACAGCCTTGCCAATCTGGCAGGCAGATTGGGACCCAGCCCCAGGAGGGCTGCCAGGGCTGTGCCAGTCCCCTGGGGCTGACTGCCCCTGATCTGCCTGCCAGATGAGGGAGGGAAGCTGGTGCTGCCACCTGGGACTGGGGAAGGGAACTGAGCCCAATTGCTCATTCCCCTCCCCAGTGTTAATGAGGCTGGGGCAAGGAACTGAGTCCAGCTGGGCTGAGTTGCCTTCCCCAGCCCAATTGCAGCACTGGAAGGGAGAAGTTGACCTTGGGCCAGCCAGGGCTCAGTTCCCTTCTCCTGTGCTGTGATTGACTTCCCACCCCAGTTGCAGGAGGCTGGGAGAGCCAGGGTTGTGCTCCCTACCTGGCTAAGCCTGGAACTGCTGGGAGTGCAGTGCTGGTTCTCCCCTGTCTCCCACCACCTGGCTGCTGCCTGCTTCGAAACTCTAAACATTTTGACTAGCCTCATTTTGTTTTGAGGCTGTTCCAAAGCCCTTCATTTTGTTTTGATTTCTCTGTTTTGAGCTCGAAACAAGTCAAAACTGTTGAAACAAAACAGGCAGCGAAATTTCCCACAGCCCTAGTATTTACAGAAGTGAAAATGTCTGTCTCCAAAATACTGTGGTCCAATAGTATTATAACTGAAAGCCTTATGAAGATACTGGTTCAGTACCACCTTGAAGGGTCCTTCCCTATCTATGCCACTCACTGATTCCCTAGAACTTTGAGCAACTGTTTCCCTCTGTTTCCCCCTTGAAGTGTTGTGAAGTCTGAACTTGCTTATGTTGTGAGAGTTGAAATGTACCTCAGGCTTCAACAGTGGATACACTGAGAAAACATTTAAAATCAGAGCTTCAGATCTCTCAAGCACTGTCTAGAATAAAAGGTATTTTGTGATTCTTTGAGCCAAGGTCAGGGGAAGTTGACCTCGGACCAGCTTTATAAAGGTGAGGATTTACATTCTTAGCTGGCCAACTGCTGCTGGATTAAGGAATTGGAATAGAAATAGAACTGATAATATGTAAAGAAATGCAACCACAAAGGATATCCACTCATAGTATCTGGGGAACAAGCAGATACCACTGATCAAGATGGACAATTTACAAAGCAACAGCAAATTACTTGGCTTAAACAGTTGTCCTGGTAAAGCACAAAACCTGTACAAAAAGTAACTATTCCATGGGATAGAACATGCCTATAACTGATGCAAATTAATGTCCCCGAAGTGTATGATATGCAGTTGAGGTCTTTTAACTCGATTTGTCCTTGTCTCGGATACCTTCTCAAAGCATTATGGTGTAAGCCAACTTCTCATTTTTCTTGGAGAAAGCTTATTGTTCCAGGATCCTACAGATATACAAGTCACAGAATCATAAGGCTGGAAGGGACACCAAAGGATCATTGGGTCCATCCCCCTGTATGAGGAGGGAAGACATCTGGTGTCAGATGACCCCAGCCAGGTGACCATCAAGTCTTCTCTTGAAGACCTCTAGGGTAGATGATTGCAGCACCTCGGGGG